TTATTTAACCAGAACCAGATAAATTAGGTACGAAAAGAATGCCAGCAATTGTGTGGCTAGCTAATAAATATAATTCCACAGTATTCTATAGATATTCCAAAGTGTTAATTATAACAGGAGTAGTTAAATTCTTTGGAGCAGTTAAATTCTTTGGCTATGAAAGTGTAGCGGTTTTTAATACATGTATCACCTGGTAACCCTGGGCATTATTAAATATATGCAAACTGAAAAACATGGTAGAAGCAATGGAAAAGTCTGGCCAGACTGTGTAATTTGTTTTAGAACTATAGAGAAATCTATTAACCATTTCTTCTATAGACCAATTTGATTAGAAAGTAGGACAAGCTGTTCTTTCATTACTTACCCAAACCAAACTGTACTTTATATCAATTATTTGGCTGTCTGCAGCACATAGATTAGAATAAAGGGCTTTTTAGTGTTTGTGAATGTTGTGGATTGCTGATTAGCAATTAAAGTACTGAATGAAGGAAATGAGGCCAAAATTGAATGGAAATGAGAAAGTCCTACTTCTGTGATACAGATGTTAGAAACAGATTGTCCTGAGCAATGTAGTGACATTGTGTATAGCCAGAGTATTTGCTTCCCGTGTCAGCTCAAGTCGAATGCTTTCGAGTTGGTTTCCTCTCCCGTGTCTTGTGATGTGGCTGTGTGGGTATTAATTTAGTGAAATATCCTGTCTGCCAGGTGTGGGAACTAGCTGATTTTATTGTAATACCAGATCATTATTTAATTCATATGCAACAGAGCACAGCACATGGAAAGCATTATAAATCTATTTACAATGTGGCTGGTCTGATGATAACGTTGTATTAAATTCCCAGGTGAGGCAATTTAAGCAATTGCTTTGCCATGTGCACACCATGGAAATTAAATTCTCATATATGCTTTAGTAATAACCAACTTCATTGTTATGTTTTTGTGTATAATCGGCTGTAGAATCCTCCTCACTCTGGCGATGTATACCCCGTTCCATATATAGACTCATACAAAGGACAGTACCACCAATCACAGTTTTTTAAATTAGTTTAAAAAAGATTAATTCACTTTGTTTCTAAATTAGTGGTGCTTGTCCACAGACACATTTAGTTCAGTTGAAAAATGTTAAGGCTTGGATCAAGTAGATTACTTCAAGCCAGATTTCCAGACAGAACCAAATAAATGTATCTATTTGAACTTGACTTTAAGAAAATAAGCCAATCATTATGCAAAAGTTCTATTCATGTACCAAATGAAAAACTGAAAAATCTCTTTCAATCTGAAATTCTCGCTTCTATAACCAATGACTCATTTTCACTACTAGTTTTAAAATAGCCATTGAAGCTTTGTATATCGAACTCCTTTGGGGTAACAATCAGTTGTTGATGTCGTAGAGTTTGTTCAGATATGTTCTGTGGATATTTTGTCCATCTCTGTCTGGTCCACTGAAATATATAGAAGTTAGAGGGAATATGCTTTGCATAAGCACACAACTAAAACTGAAGCATGCGCTTGTGTTTAACAACCTTTGTGTGTGCGTGTGTGTGAATTTGCGTGTGTGGCAAATCCTGTCAGTTGACACTTTTCTACCCTGATGGTATAGACCAGAAATTGCAGTAGATTACAAAGTGCAGAGAGCTTCTGTCTTCTCCAGGAGCCACATATAAAGCATCAGTAGACGGTGGTAACTGACAACTAAGACTAAAAATGTTGACAATTTCTTGATTTGCCTGGTTAGCTTATGTATAGAAGTCATTAACTATTTATAAAATGCATTATGAATTGGGTTCCTTCAAACTGTAGCTGAATGTGTGACATTTCCAGCTCAAATTCTCATGCTTACATTTGGCTAAAGTACAGATTTTATACTGTTGATTATAAAGTAAAAATACTTTAGTTAGGTATATCAAGATACAGTAGAGGTTTCAGCTTTATTAACTTTGAATCCTCTCAATTAAAGTATTATGTAAGTACTTAGTAATATAACACCAGGCTTTTAAAAATTCTGTAAAAGGCAACATAATTTATTGATGTTTTGGAGGAAAACTGTTCATAAAATAAGCAGTTTGTCATCTGAAAGGATTTTCCCCTTTTTTGGTTTGCAGCTAGTTTAGTGATGATCTCACAAGTTAAATTAGTGTTAATTAAATATAATCAGCTTGCTTAAAATTTCAAACCTTAAGAAATTCTGAGAAAACACTGATGCTGGGTATCCAGACACAATTTTTCATTAAAGAAAGTCTTGATTCATTTTTGCAAAAGGAAGCTCAAGTGTAAAGAGTTATTTTGAGCATTGTGTGTTCATTTTCATGGGGAACTAGTACTGATATTTGAAATGAATTCTTTTTATTCTTTCAGAAAAGTCAGTCCTATCAGAGAATACTTTGTTCATTTCAGCATACCATTTGCTTAATTATATCCTGAAAAGCTACCCAAATGACCAGTTTTTGCCATCCCAGTGTTAAAGAATGACATTTGTAGGGATCACCCTTCACTCCAGATGAATCCTTAGTTCTCCATTGCCAAGCACATATATAAACACTTCATTGCTAGTTTTCAAAAGCAGAGTATTCTAACCAAAAAAGGTTAGATATTCAGGGATTCATGTTTATAATTTTCTTATTTTGAAGTATACTACATCAAAATAATCTCTGCCAATTTGTTGGTATATTGGTGAAAAAAGGGAAAAACAAAAATAATCTCTATATGATATTCTTGCACACTGTGGAATGTTTTAGTCCCCCATAGTGATGAAATGAATAATTAAGAAGGCAGCTCTGATACCACAGCCTGTTTAAAGGTTCTCACTTCCTTTAATGCTATAAAATACTTTTTACTTAGCTAGTTTGAAACTACTATAGTGGGGATCTCCAAACGGGCAAAAGAAAGCTTTGGCTTGATCTAAATATTGTATTGAGAACATGAAACAGACTTTATATAATTAGCATTTTTAATACAATTCTGCATCAGTCAATAGAAGTAGTTAATTATCAGTAGTTTCAGTAAATACAACAAAAGAGTAGATTTTATATATGTTGTTTGTGGTAGTAAAACGTCTGGTATATTCACACAGGAATATGTTGGGTCAATCCTGAATTTTCAGGAGATCTGCTATAGATGTCCTTACCAACCTCGGGCTGATTACCTAACTCCTCCAATTTGTTCTTCTCCCTGCAGCACTACTGTAGTCTTTATCCTCTTACAGGCTTATTGTAGTTGCTAAGATAGAACATATGTATTTGTAGTAGGAAAGTAGGACAGACGATGCAGACTGATAACCAAAAGGGGATTCCACTATTTCCTCTATACTGAAACATTTTGTAATTCTTGTGCCTTTTTCCTCTGCAATCTAGCAAATAATAGAAGAGGGAGGAATTTTTATAAGGTAGCATGAGCACTCAACCTATGACTCAACTCAGGACCCTATGATTCTAATCTCAGTGTAACCAAAATGATCTTTAGAATTCCATGAAACTGATTTTTGCCATTTATGAAAAGGGGGTTATCTAGATGTTTATAGTTTTATTCATACTGCCTTAAGTCTTTTCAAACTGGTTTCTGCTAGAGGCCTAAGCCTTCATTATATGTAATGAACTAAACACTCTTTTGTGCCATCCTTGGGAGAATTCATATAATTTTCTGATTTTTGGTTTGGTAAGGAACCCCAGCTGAGAAAGACTATCTCTTTTAATTAATTTAAAGCTTATTGGTTGTTCTTGTCTAAGGTCCTTCTAAATTCCAGTAATATGGTTCTATGTTCAAAGTATTGTTAACTTCTGCTCATGCATTATGGGCAGTCCTTTTAAACTGTGCAACTTTTTCCGATCACAGTTGAACAGGTAAGAATTTTTAAGTCCCAAATGTAGATCCTAATTGAGAAAAGACATTGCTCTTTCCCACCCAAAGAGGGAAAAAAAAAAACGATATTGGGAGGTGGTATTCTGGGAAGTTGGTACACGCACTTAACATGTCTTAATCCTGTTGCCTGTTATTCCCTCCCCGTTTCTACTCCTTTCCTGCTTGTCCCCTTTCCCCATCATTTTCAGTCCATCATTTTTGCTTGATTGTTTCATACACAGAAAAGGCAACAAAACAGTAATTTGTAAATCTGAATTTGGGTCTGACATATTAAAGATGAAGTAGGAACTGAGAACCACACTCTAGTTTCACATTGAACTTTTAGAAGCTTTAAATTTTTCAAGTGTGTATACGTTTAGATAATTTGCACAGTGCTGGCACTGCAGACATGTCCCTCTGACTTTATAGGCAAGAGTAGATTTCTTGTAAAACAAAATTGCAGTGCATGAAATATTGACTCCTAGCCTTTGGGATTGGGAAACCTAATTTGCTTTACCCCCCACCCGCACATGTACGCACATGCCGGCACACACTGACTCCTATTGCTTTTCCGTGGGCTATTATTTAGAGAGAAGTTAGAGACATTTAAATTATCATTTGGACGGGAGATGGGCTTTTAAATCACCTCTTTCTGGTTAGTGACATCACAGTAATGAAAGAAATGTAGGTATGTGCCAGTCCAGGCATTCTAGAGTAGAGCTGGAGATACAGTTATTATCCTGGGATTAGAGATTTTAAAAACTGAATTGTACAGTTCATATCCTGCTGCAGTTAAAGGCCCTCTCTACTTCCATATTTTTAAATCTCTGTTCTATAGATATACAGCTATTTAGCCTGTATTTCTTTTAGTTTAATGTTAAACGATGATGTGTGGAGTAATATGCAAGTTCAATCCCTTTAAGAATAGTAAAATATTTACACAATGCAGTTTTTCCCCATTATTGGCATTTTTGAAAACGTCTAATTTACACGAAACTTCTCAAGTTCAGGGAACTTTACACAACTTTGGTTTGCAGATTTTTGCCAATAGGTTTCCATTAGGGGGCTCTCGAGGTTTGAGATGATAAGCCTGATACCAATAATACTTCGAAGCCTTTACTTTCTAGCGTTCATCTCGCTCTTTCCCTTTTTGTTTTGTTTTATAGAAAAGGTCACGGATCGCCTACAGTGACGAAGTACGGAATGAGCTCCTAGGGGATGACGGGAATTCCTCAGAGAACCAGGTAGAATGCTAATCAGGAAGGCCCGGTGGGTGGCTGGAGGGTGAAGCGGGTCACAGGCACACTGGGCTCTCAAGCTGCTCCTTAACAGTATTAGCAGCAACTCATGTGGAAGCGATACTGTTTAATGCAAAGCTGGAGTCTTAATCAACTTCAAAATGTTTCTTGGAGATCTTACATTTAACCCTTTACCTTGTGATCGCTGTCTGCTATCTTTTAAAAAAATCTTTTCTTCTCTTTTCTTTATTATTTAGTACTTAAGGAATAACTTGAAACACACTGTTTGCAGACAAAGCCAAGGTCTTCACCTCAAACACATGTAAAAGGAATAAAAAAGTACATAATACAGCTTTGATAATAATGCAGTATAATTAAATCAACACTTGCAGCAAAACAAATGAAAGTAAGCTTTCAAAATTCAACAGCGCAGCTCAGTGTCCTATTGTGTAGCTTCTTAAAAATACATTCACCAAAATGCAAATTATAGGCACCAGTGTGGATCTTGGATATCCAGATAGAGACCTGTTTCTGTCAAATAATAGTCATAATAATAATAATAGTAATAGGATAAGTCTTCTTTGCAGTTTAAGATATGCATAGGCAAAAAATAAGAGACAATTTTTTCTTAAAAGGGCCTTACAACTCGGCCGTCAGTTCTTGTTGAGTCACACAGTAGTGCCATGAGTCTAATTAATGTCCTGTTTCTTTTTTAAATTAATACTACAGATTTCATAAGTTCATATAGATCATATATGACTTTAAGGGAACATTTCAAGCACTTCAGCGTAGAGATGATTTTTAAAATGTCTCAAATACCCCTATTTGATTGGTGACAGGGAACTTCACAAGCAAGACCCGAATGTGTTCATTAATGTTACTTCAGTAAATATTTTAAAGGTTTCTACTCAGCCAAAATAGCATTGAACATAAACCATTCACTAGGTAAACCAACATTTAATAACTCAGTGAAACATAACATTTGATTCATATTATAAAATCTACATAATTGTGTTTACCATTTCAAATAGATATGTGCTGATATTGTATTATTATCTTCTATAATGTTCATTTTATAAACAGGGATATTGCTTGTGTGATTAAGGGCTCCACTTACCCACCCCCCAAAAGAGGAGAAGAATCAGTGAGGGTTATTGTTAGTTTTGATGAAGTTCTCACTTCCTTCAGTATTTGGATGCTATCAGCTTAAGTTCAGAAATGTAAACATGTTCATATTTGACTTGGGATTTCAGCTTTTCTGACTGAAATGTGAGAATACCTAAAGAAAAAAAAATAGTGCATCAAACATAAAAGGATGATGTGATGAAGGGGTTTTACTCATAATAGATTAAATAATGTCAAGATGAGAGAGAAAACATTTTCTCCTTTTTTAAAAGTGAGATTTGGATTGCTCATACCTCATGAATGAATGAGTCATAATTTTCTTTCCTATCTCCTGTAAAAAAAGCATAATCATTTTTGCCAGAAAGTGAAATGCGTAGTTCCCATGTCAGTTCTTTAAAAAGCTATAGATCTTTCCCTCATTTGAAAGTACTGCCTAATGTAGAGGAAATAGAAAAGAAGGGGGTGTTCCTGTCTAACTCAGATTCCTTTATTGTAATGGATGTTGTAGTTCTATGACAGGAATCCTTTTTTTTAAAGCATGTTCACTTCTCTTAATGGACATTTTATGTGCCTAAAATATTTGCCTTACATACGTATAAAGATAATTTTTATGCCTAAAGAAAACTTCATAAAAATAGATTTAAGTTCCTATTTTCTGAGTTTTTCAAATTGTATTTCTGTCACATCAAAGTGATTATGCAGAGAATTCCCCTGGACTTGTAAAAATCAAACTTACAAATCCTGAAAATGCGTGGATAACCTGAAGTTTGGCTGTAAGGAGCTGTCTCTTCAGTAAATAGAGTACGATAAATTATAGTTGTGAGAGTATGTGAGTGTTAGATTATTACTCACATTAACTTTTTGCTAAAAATTTGAATGATGTATGAAAGTTCAAAAAATATGCTTACCTTTTTGGATATTTTGTTACCAAGTATAGCAAAATTTCCCTATGATGATGAAGTTATTAAATTTTGTTTTGAGACTTTTTGTCACATATAGGAATTAAAATCTCTCAAGCTGAAATATTTCCTGAACCATGGGTGATTACTTGAAAATAACTTTTTATTTTCCATCAGTATTAATTCAGACTAGATATTCCAAACAAAAGATCTTTCTTTTAAGAAAGAAAAAAATTTAATATAAATCTTCATATTTTTGAACTTAAAAGCTAAGAAGATAATTTTTTTCTAGATATTACCTATAATTTATATAAAGTGTTCTGCCAAGAAATAAATTTACTTTCAATTTAATTTTTGATAAAATGATTTTCAAACTACTTGTATAATATGATAAACTTAAAATACAAGTAAGACTTAGGAAAAAAACAAAATGAGATGAAATTAGCAATATACATTTAAATGAAATTGGGATATATTTGTCAATTTAATTATGTATGGGTCAGAAAAGGAAAATAAAAGAATTAACAGCAGTGATTACAAACAGGTAAAATAAAGTACTGTGTAGTTACTTTCAATGTATTATACATATCTGGCCTCTACTGGGTTGTTTTTGGTTTTTGGTTTTTGTTGTTTTTTTTTTTTTTGCGAAGATTTAGATAAATGTGAATGCAGTAACTACTGTTTCTCATCCTGGCAATTTATGATGCAAGGTTTTAGGCATCTAAAACCTGCTAATACATATGATTATAACTTTAATTTACTCTTACATATATAAACATTTGCCTAATGCACTCATAGGTGTATGAATATATCTGTGATTATTAGAAATGCCAACATTGCAGAAAATTAGGATTTTTCAAATGCCTCTTTAATTCCCTCATACAATACACGTCATTTAATTACAAATTAATTGCTTTGTATAAATTCATTTCTGTTTCATATCCATTTCATTCAGTCAAATACAGCTCATTCTTGACTTACAGAAAAGGGACAAAATTATCTACTTTGCACCTTTGACTGAGGCCTTAAGCATAATCAATGTTTAGATTTGCCTTTCAGTATCGCAACATTTCATATCTTTGAGAGAGTTGAGTTCTTCAATGCAAAGATGCTGCTTGGGGAATGGAAACCTTAATATCTTTAACATGTTTTCCTCCTGTGAGAAACATTTTCAAAACAAGAAAAAAACCAACTTGTAGAATAAAATCCTAAAACTTTTCATAGTGGAGTAGGATAATAGGGCAAATAAGATGTCCAGAGCTCTAGGTTTAAACCCCATTAGTTTGACAGTTACCATATGCAAAATTATACTGACCCATGAATGAGTAAATCCTACACAGAAGATTCAAAAAATATACAAAGAATAGATAGTTCCACACGTGTGGAAATTTTTGTGGTAAAGCAATATTTAGCAGATAATGATTCTTTAATTTTTAAATACGAGATTCTCTTAAGTTCTGATTTGGGCTTGCTGTGCATAAAGTGTGTCAAACTTCAGCTACAGACCAGGGGGTGAAGTCGGTCAATTTAATTCCCCGAGATCTAAAGAAGGTCGGTATCATTTCATATAGCCCCGGCAGAGCAGATCATTACCAGGCACAAATCTGTTCGTTACGTGCTGAGGGTTTATAGCAAAATAAATAGACTGTCATCATAAGTTCAGAAAATTGTGTGTTCGACCCACGATAATGTGTAAAGGGCGTTTAATAGAGTTCAGCATTTATTCGTTATCTGTATGCGGACAGAGACGGCAGTCCCGTTATCAGCTCAAAAAAAAAAAAATTCGGTAGTTGTGGGGGTCACATGACGCACCTCACACACACAGGCGCACGCAGACCCTCACACGCTCTGCAGTGTGGTTTTGATTTCAGTCACAGCAGAAGGCTTAACCACAAGAGATTCCACTGGTTCAAACCAGCGTAAACCAGATTTTTTCAGCCCACAAAGGAACAGATTACCTCTTGTGTCAAATTCTACATTGGGGGAAAAAAATCTTTGTTTCTGAAAAGATGTTGATTATCTTAACGTTGTGGCATTGCACACTTTCATGTCGCCTATGATAGAGCTAAACTCGATAAAATAGAAATCACTACTTACAGTCTAGTCTAAGCATTGCTAATTTTCACAAATAAACTATCTTTTGTTTACTTGAATATATAGTTCTCGGGCTGACTGAAAAAGAAGAAAAAAAAAAGATAAAGATTAAAAACCCTCCCATTACCTAGCTTAGCTACAAATCCGGAGTGGAGCGCCAATGCAGCCATGCAGCACAAACAAGATAGAACGTTTTTTTGTTTGGAACCTATTGAAAAAACAAATGGGTAGCATTTTTAAACACTCATTGATTATGGCAGGGTGGCATGCCCCGAATGGTCTCTATTGCTGAGGAATAGTTTTAAACTTTGCCCCTTTAAGTATCATCACAGTCAGCTGAAGAATGGTGCCCCCAGAAGAAAAGAGTGCGATCAATTCCCAGATCGTCTCTTTCTGAGTATTAATGTTTGCTTTTTTCTCCCATGATGTTCGAGTGGCAAAGAGAGAGATTCCGATATGTGATAGGCCAGGTATTTTAGTTTTAAAATTTTACTCCTTCTAGAGAACTTGAGACTTTCCACGTGAACTAGTGAGATGTTTTACTCATCTACCCTGGGTGGTTGTGGAGAGAATGAATGTGTTTAAAAATAATGACAATGTATCTGTTTTGAAGCTCTAATATTAAAAGTTTCATTGTTGTTAAACACAGGGCAAGACGTTACATAATAAACCATATTCTTTTCGTAGAGGGTTCATGACATTTACAAAATCTCGTTCTTTTGGACTTGAAATACTTCCCAAACAACAATTGAAATTACAGAATAAGCTGGAATGCATACTGCCTACCTTGAATTTGAAGCAAAAACAGCACTAGGCATTGAGAATTCCATAATAGAGTAGTAAACATGATACTTTTCAGCGGGAGGTATGGTGAGCAGTACATGGCATGTTTCTCCCAAAGCAATACGTTTAATTTATTGGCCTGTGAATGTCAAGTATTCAAACAGATGTTACAGATATTTGTATGTTTGAAAATTATCAGTTGTGGACCTGAATTGTTGAGAATGCAAATTTCAGACCTAGAACGGGGCTCAACGTCTGTTTCAGGTTTCAATTTCTGTTTGTTACAAAAACTCTGGTAGTAACCTCAACTATAAAATTAGTGTTTGTGCTTTACAATAATGACAAACACAAAAGATGAATCAAACATATGATCATATTTTTCTTATTTCTAAAGAGTTAAGCAACTTGTTTTGTGTGTTATATTTAAGGCCAATAGAAAAATGTTTTATATAGGAGAATTAAAATGCTATCATAGGAGAAACAAATATATACAGATAAGTCTTGAGTGGTTGTTGGTACCACTTTAGTGAAAATAAACTGCAGTACAAATAAATTAAGAGAGTTAACTGCTTGGAGATGGCCTGCTTTAAAAGATGAAGGCAGTTGACAAGTGATGAAACATAAAATTAAAAGGAAAGTGTGTCATCTGATTGCAATAGTCACAAAACATAAAAGAAGCAAAACAAAAATCTAGAAATTGACTCCAATGTGTACAGTAATGGTAAAGTGATTCCTGATACTGTGTCCTAAATAAGTATTATCTATACTGGTATACTTTATTCCCAATTAAAATAGTGTTACCTCCTAAAATAAACATATTCTCACATAATACCTTGTTGTTTTAAATAATTGTTGCAACCAACGCATGAACTATTCATCATTTTCATTGTTGATAAAATCTGAAATCAGTTGTCAAGGTTCCAAATAGAGAAACATACTGAAAACTTGTATATACAAAACCTCTTCAGTGGTACATTCTTAGAAGAGAGGAACAGTAAACTTGTTTTCTTTCTTTATAATATAGACTTCTATGAAGTCATTCTCCTTTATTTTATGATGATGTCTTAGATGTACTTTAAAAGAGAATTTCACACTATTCTCTTTGTTTAATGTGACAGTGTGAGAAAGTGATCTTTATTCATTCAAAAAACTCTGCATGTAGTCTATGTTTAGGTTCTTTTAATGTGTTTGTGATTTTTAAATGCTAAACATGTAAACAGATAAATTGTCAATGTTAATTCTGTATCCTGTCACACGACTGATCTTTCTTTCCTGCCATTTCTTTCCTTTTTATCTTTTTTTTGTGCATTCTTGTTGCAGTTGATAAAATTACGTGAAGAGGTGAGTACTTCCTAGTTTCCTTTTTATACCTTTAATTTTTCCTTTCCTTACAAAATTGAGTTTCTAAATCTGAAATGGATCTTTGCATTTATTTCTCCAGAAAAGTCTACCAAAGAAAAAAAGTATTGTCTTTATTCCTCAGAAATGTGCTGACCACCTCTTAAAAAACAACTATTTCTTAATCACACTTATTACAATGATCATTGCTCTTTGTTGGCATTGGGGAAAAGTGAATGTTTTAAAGACAAAACAAAGAAGGAAATATAAAGGGTATCTTAAAACTATACTTAGTGTGGCTTTGTTATGGACTGTTACTTCAACTTTGCTTTATTTTTGTTGGTTTCTTAAAGATTTTTTTCTGCTATTCTGATTTCTGTTACCAAAAATTATTCTTAAATAAACTGCTTTCTCTCACTCAAAAATTTTAGGTTCAACATAAGACATGATAAGAAGGATCTCTTATCCTTTGGAGGAAGCAGACATGAGTCTTACTTGTCTGTATAGGCAGATACATAGGAATAGCCAAAGCTCTCGTCATTGTTAAACACCTTCCTTTTTGTAGGAAATAGCACCCAAGTAAGTTCTCATTTTACCAAGTTTACTAGTTGGTTTCATAATGCAGACGCAAGCTTTTTTTGCGGTCTAGCATATTTTTTCGGTAATGTTAATGATTTTATCCTTGTATCAATGAGGGATGCTGAATAATTGCTTCCCCCCCAATTAGGCCAAATATATCAAATGTGCTTCAGGACTCCATTTCAGAGCAGAGTAGTTATATTTTTTTATGTCATGAGGTAAAGTTGTTATTTTTCCATTAGGACATAAAATAATAGACCAGGTTGTCAAGTTAAAATTGCCTAATTGCTTATAATTACCATAGTACTTTGAGTTATCTTCAAGTTTAGATTGACTATATTGATTGTGATTTTCCTAGAAGTTTTTTTTAATTGGCATGTCGTCATTCTCTGAGTGATGCAAATATTAACTTAGAAGCTTGTAGAGATTGTGATTTTTCAGTAATTCTTCTTTGAAAATGTATTGGTGATTTCCTGGTACCAAAAAAAAAGAAAAAAAAAAAAGAAAATGTACAAGTGTTGTCCTTTTTTTCAAAATAATAATGACATATAAACAGAAGGGAGAAATATACAAATACCTTCTCTTTCCAATCTTTTTGCTGTTTTCTGTTTGTTTTTACTTTGTTATGTCAGATGTATATACTAAACAAATGTAATTAAATGCAGTTATATTGTATAGGATTATTCTCTTTTTTTGGCACCGGGGATCGAACTCAGGCCCTTGCGCTTGCAAAGCAGGTGGCGGAGCCACTGAGTCAAATCCCCGGCCTTAGGATTATTCTTTTGGTGAGTGATGCATCAACATTATTTGCCTCCAAGGTAGAATATCTGTTTGTGTATTTTTACATAGGTTCATGTTTAGGTGAAGAATGTGAATTTTTAAATGTTAATAGAAATAACGATAGCATTGAAAACCTCAATACAAAGCTCTTGTTCCTGAATTTAAGCAATGATTAGTAAAACCTCACTGTATGTTTGTCAGAGATTTATTTTTGTTAAGCTGAATTACCATATTTAATTAGAATCTTAATTCTGAAAGCTGAAAACGTCATGTCTGCATTTCTTTTAAAATATATTACTGTTTATGGGCTTAATTCTTTTATTGTACCTGTAGCAAAAGTTACCAGTTATGGGTCTGGAGTTCATTTTTTGGAAATCGTATCCTGTAATAGAACTGTACCAGGAAGAAATAGATCATTCAACTAGTACAATAATACCCTCTGAAGTATGTTTTGTATATTTGTGGATAGGTAGCATTGACATTTATAGACTCTATTACAGTGATGATAGTGAATTGCATATGGTTTGCTAAGAAGTGATTGTCTCTTGGTCTGGATTCTAATAAAAATCATACAGTGCATGGTGCTCAAGATTTCTCACTTCCACCTCTATGCCAAGAAGACAGGCACCCATGTTTTCCAAAATAGGATGTTTTGTTGTGTCTGGAAGCAAAGTATGCCCCATGCCTTCCTTGTGATGCTCTTTTGGGGCCCAATTCTGGAACTGGGGCACACTTGGAGGCAGAGCTGTAATACAGAGAGAGCCGATCTGGTGTTGGCCGTGCTGAGCTGTTTGAATCCTGCATCTTCAGCTCTCCACGTTGCTCGCACAAGTTGAGCTCCGTCTGAAGCTCCTGCGCAGCTACACTCACCTGCTTTGAAAGGGCTGAGAAGAGGGTGAGAGAATGAGTTTGGGATGGAGTGTGGGGGCAAGTTGAAAGCATCAGCTGCTACTGTAGTGTGTTTCCTTTCATTTGTGGCGACCAGGGCAATGTACAACTAAAAGAACAATGTAAATAGCACAGCTGTTACAAGAACTTGATTTTAGTTTGACTTAAGTGAAGAGGTTCCAAAATACAGTGAAATCCTGCTGAAAGCTGCT